CGATCCTGAGACATGCTGCATTAGGTTTTTGGTGAAGTGGGTCCGGAGAATTTCGTCCGAATTCGTATAAGTATATTGTCAGGTGTAATTTTACCTCATCCCTCAGCAGCCTACGCATCTATCAAATGTCTCCCATTTCCTGGAGTGGATATTGATTGCCAAGTAAGTGAATTCCTCACGCCGTTGAAATCGTCACCATTTTATCACATATAAACGCGTCTGAATAATTTCATCGACATTGGCAGGTGTTTCTTCACCCCGCATTTACGCCTTACTTAACGAGTTGATTTTACTAGCTCTGATACAGTCTAATCTGTTTTAACATATCGTTAAATGCTATCGAATCAGTTACACACCAACTAGTCTGCATTCCATGAGGGTAGATTAAATTCACGATTCGGAAGCATTCCTTCTATGCAAATCAGGTCAGCACTAGCCAGAACACGATAGGGTACATCGTACATTTTTGGTTCACACCTCTGTTCCGTCAGCAGTACACGCGCAGTCATTCATTAATTCACTTGAAGCTGGAGATGGTCCATAAATTGATGAATTCGGACCGTGTCAGTGTAGTACATTTTCCCCTCATCCACCATGCAAGAATAAGCTGGATTAGGACAGCCGCTGTTGTACTCAATGCCATTGTAATTGTAAGCTCCCTTCACTTCCACTATTCTCACAAAACCCAATCATTTCTGTCAAACTGATGGCTCAACTTCATATTAATTTCCTTTATACTCTTCACACTGATTATTGCCTTTATATCACAAGATCCTAGTTTTACTAAGCATGCATAAGTTTTCCAGCGTTGATTCATAAATAAAATTGTGTTATGAACGTGTGTCCCGAGTGTGGTTACTGGATGCATTGCAAATTTAATGAAAATGATCAAGACAAAGAAGATAATTTCAACGTCGAAATTACTGCAATCTGTTACAGTGAATTTTCGCAAAGTAAATAGTCAAAATGATTTGACCATAAGGTTAATATTTTCAAAATCATAGGGCCTAATGCTTCTAAAGGGGAAATTTTAGTCTTATTTATCTTTGGTAACTCGATTTTTGCTGTTTGTGATAGTAGCTAAATTTTTGCTCTGAATACATTGTGAAAATTGAGTTAAGAGTTGAAAGTAATGACGATGCCCTGGGTAGAAAATTATACGCCCTTTTCTGGTTTACTTACAAGATGTGTGCCTTTTTAAAAATAACAAGTGCTATCGCATAACCATCTTATCCCAACTAATTCTACATTATAATCCAGCATAGACAAAAGTATAAATCCCACATCGTTTATAGTCTCAACTCTAGCCGGTAAGGGGAATTGGTTGAATTTAAGTCCATCATCCCTTTAATTACAGTCCAAAATTCCGAGGAACCACCAAAGCGTGAATCACATGCAGTTTATTGGTTAGCGGGAGTAGTAATGCACGATAATATCGTTGGTGGATGCTTTGCATACGGAAAGAGGTTGTAAAGTCCCAACCATCGATGTTCCTCTCGATATTGGCATATTTGACAAATCTTTCCATACTTGCAGCCACGATACAACATTCGCATTAGGATGCACTTACATTTTTATCCCAATCCATTTTTTCTAACAGCAAATTCTACAGGTGTTCCTTCCTTCCTTCCTTTATTAAACAGTTCACAAAGTAGAGAAAATAGTGCACATTACCGATTTGAACATGGATTCATTAACTAGCTGAACAGGACAAAAATAGCTTGACCCTAACCCATTCTTACTATTTACCGACTTTACCACCACAACTACTGAGACCAAGTGCCTTAGATCGGCAAGTCCAAAACTGACTGCTTTCAACATTGTAGAATGATATTTTCCAAACATTTAGTGTGTATTCTGCTGGTGTGTTGCGGTTGGAATCGTACTCTCTTTGACTCTTAACCACATTATTGGGGCACCACAACAAAGCTATGCCAGCCTCTCCATCCACATTTTTATGACAGGCTCTCTCGGATTACTGTTCAGCCTGCCTGCGCTCAATGGGTTTGGAAAACGCGGGAAGTGTGGGCTTGTGACTGTAAGCAGGACATCGTCAACGTTACTCTTTGCTAGTATGCCATAGTTTTGTGCATAATGACTACATCCATTCTGGCCTGTGCCATCCTCCTCATTTCAGCATCAAAAAATGTAAGTCCACACAGACCTGATTAAAGACCTTTCTACCTATTTAATTTCAGTAGCACGTTCATGACAATTATAAAAAATCGGTTTCTAGCAAAAGGAACTGTTTGACTGGATTGATGTAAATTTGAAAAAAGTCTTCCAAAATGGAACTCAATCAGTCAGAGGTATGGAGGCAGTATTCCTGATAGAGAACCAAGTATGTTGCAAGTCTTTATGAATAAAAAAAACCATTTGTTCAAAGCTGTCCTGCTGCGGATTCAACGGAACGTCCTTCTACCCTCCGGGTTCCATAACTGTTGGCTGCTGTGACAACCTGGAAATCCCATGCACAGCTGATGCTGCCCACAAGAAAGCAAGTAGAACTTATGCTTCATAATATTAACGAACCTTTATCGTGATAGGCAGCGAATGCATTCCCCCCTCCCCCCCAAATATCTGCCGCCAACAGCAACAACAACAACAACCTGCCTTGCTTTTTTGTAGGCTTGTCGAGTAGCCTTCATGGAGATGATAAAAAATCGATTTGAAAATTTTGGTATCAGTCTCATATTTGCTGCCATCATCAATTCTGCAGCAATAGTAAATGCCTGTATAATGCTAGCCAAGATGCGCTATGACGAGAAGATGGACACAAAATGAACGAAATCCGCCCCTCTCCCCCTCCACTCCACCCCTTCAATGTTGATTGTGTTGGACGCTTAAACAAATCTTGACATTCCTTTTTCAAATCAAACAAATGTATGCATCTGAAAGTTCATCAAATTAAATTGCTTTTATGTGCACTACAAGTTGTCATGATGACACATTTATGAAATGAAATAATGACATTATTAAGTAACTTGTAAGGGGTGAAATCACTCGACCTCATCAGTGGTGGGAAAGAGCATGTGACCAGAGAGACTGCTGTAGAGGTAGCCATGAAGGTGGTACGCCTCTTTGCTGCATTGAAGCCAAAGTTTGTCGCCACGTTTTAGTTGGAGGATGGCCTGATTTGTGGTGCTGGCCCAGGGTTTGCTTTCACACCAAGCAGACAACACCTTCTGACCATTCAACATGAGCCACGCACTCGCCTAAAAGTAAAGCATTTGAAGGCCCTCCTCCAATTTAAACGCATTTATATCCTCTTAAAGCAGTACCTCTAAGGCAAATTAAAAGGACAAATCCTATTTCGAGTTACAATCTGGTCAAAGTGTGGCTCTGTCAAACCCTCTCGCCTAATAACGCAGCAATTGAAGCCTGTGAAAAGGGAGAAGGTAAAAAAAAGAATATTTGAGTCCATCTGTGAATTTTATAATCTTCGTACTTTCTCATAGCTGCGAGCCGACACCACCAGTAGGAAGCTATAAACACCGCTGATTTTGGTGATGAAGACGCCGTTAGAGGCATTGTAGAAGCCGCCCACGTTCAGAATGACCGTGTCGAAGATGAGGGGACAATTCTCGCCCGGAGGCACTTGATCAATGTTTTGGGAGAGGCCAATGTAGAAGGCGATCTGCGGTGGACGCGACGCCTGGGGCACCAACGGTGGCGCTTTAGCAGGCGGACCAGGAGGCCCTAGATAAGGAGGAGAAGGGGTTAAGAAGAGGGTAGAGAGTCTATCCACATGGCAATAGACGATGAGTCGCCTGTTTGTATGGTACAATTTGCTGACAACACGGTGATATCAGGGCGAGCCAAGTGTCACATGCACCACTGACCAAGACGTGCATCATCCACTTGATCACAGTTGTCCAGCAATAGACGTCAGCCACCCATAAATCCGATTGGAGGATAGAAAGGATTCCATCTCATGAGAGGTTTAAGATAAAGTTGACAAGAGGCTGTCTATCTTCTCACTATGGTCTGTCTCAATTCATGCATGCATGTGGAGGGAGCACCAGAGTCCACAAATTACCTCAAGCAATCCAGTGGGAATTTAAGAGACAGCAAATTGTAATAGATCGCGGCTTTGTGATACAAACAAGCTGGAAGTGATTGCGCTAAGGTGGGTCACAAAACACCTCACTCAGGAGGAGGCAAAATGGCCAAGTGATTGGGTTTTGTTTAAATGTACGCCATGCAAGCTCATTGGCGGGCTCCTCCAATTTACAAGCTCAAGACTAGAAGTGAGAGGAATGCTTGCGAACGATTTCAACTCCTCTGTCTCCACTTAGATTGGGGAATGTGATCCAACTTCCTAATTTCCACATATCACGCAAACCTCGAGTGAGTGCTTAGTATGTACAGCCTAAATTGGGGGGAGAGGAGGGGTGAGAGGAAAGAAAGGTGAGGGGAGGGGAAAAGACAGCCTTCTGCCAGTAGCAGAATTGCGGTGGCTTGTGAGAACAACCTCGAAAGTCAGATAAATGGTCCTGTTGCGTGTCATGCATGCATTGCTGTGTGTGGATAACTCCCTTGAAATAGTCTAGTGGTCACAAATTTTAACCCAAATACTTGTTAAAATCGTTAAACTAAAATGAAAAATTGACATATCTGGACAACTGAAGCATGTCTCATGCATTCTTCAATATCAGTGTCACACATATGTGACGTCAAAAATAACAACGATGGCGACTCCAAGTGATTTGATGAGAAAATGTTGAAGCGTGTAAAAGCACTGAGAATAGTTATACTGGCGTACAGTTATAATAATGGAATGACGCTCCGCCTTGTATGTGTGTACGTGTGTTGAGCCTACCCTACACAATCCGAATTCGCTTAGCCTTAATGGCCCATAGGTGTCCTTAAGCGTGAAACCTGCACAGGGCAACAGAGTTGAACGCAAAGTCCTCTTTGATTTTTGTAAAAAGAACACAAAACCTACCAGGAGGACCCATGAGACCTTGAAGCCCCCGTGGACCCCTGTCACCTTTGGGTCCAGGAGGACCTTGTGCAGAACGGATAGGTACACGCACTTTCTCCACACCCTGAGCCGTCTTGCCAGTGCACTCCAACTGGAAGTAGCATGCAGGACTGGAGGATTTGTCCACCTGGAAGACTAGATCATTGGCCTCCACGATGGAGAGAGTCATTAAAACAAGGTTGAAAGAAGTAGTGAATCTTATCATTGGTAAAGTGGTTTGGAGTTGATGTAAGTTTGGATAAAAATGATCAGGAGATAAATTTGAGCCAATGGGCGTTGTGGAAGCCAACAACCAATCACAAATGCGTGCTCAATTGACGGCTCAAAGGAGAGCAAATTTTGACCAGGAAAAAAAAAGGTAGTTCCTTAGAAATCGCAAAAAAACGACCTGATCAAAGAGTTTTTAGAGTAGACATTGATTTAAACAAAATTAAAGTGGATTCGATTAACTGGTTTTTATTTAAGTAAACTGAAATAAGTGCGTTGGCGGCTAGAAGTTTGGAAAAGCAAGTAAATTGATATTGAATGCAAAAAAAACAAAAATATTGAGAGTAGGATATGACGAATGAATACTCACCCACGTCTGAACGAAAGTGGGGAACGACACGGCTTATAACGACCTGGACACTCCACATCTCTACCGAATTGCACCGCGTGGATTGTAGAGAACGAGTAAGTAATAATGTCTGCTATGGAAGATTCGCTCTTGTCCACGCTTCCAGGAGGCAGCGGTGCCACTTTCTGCAAGCCCTTTCGAAGACGAGAGCTTTTAATATGTTACCCCTCTCCTCACACACACCCTATTGCAGTAAAATTGTTAAATTCTTTGCCGTGTTACATGATTCACCCACCGAACAGGTAGGCAGACATACATCACTCGAAGGAGGAAAAGACATACAAAAAGAGGATTGTTACACTTTGACATTATGGCTGCAGCATGTGGGATATAATATTCCTTTGAACAAGGCTGATACTATGTACACAGCGGAGTTCAGTGGCCGAGGAGGGGAGAAAAACAGGAGCTCAGTTAGGATTGTGGATAGGTGAAGTAGTCGACCTCGGTGGGACCGATGTTACCGACGCTGACTGTCTTACAATTGACTTCTTCGGTGATGGAGACGGGGAGTTGATTCACCATCATGCTGTTGACATGCAGACTCTCTCCTTCCCCAGTTGTCAATGCCGTATAACCCTGATCTGTGAATGGAGGCGATGAAAAAGATCGAAAAAAAAAGAGAATCAATTCAATAGGTTTCATTTCTCCAAAACCTAGCAGCATGAACTAACACCGCCAGCTTTATTCCCCACATGAACAAGTAACAAAGCAGAATCGTCAGAAGGATAAATTAGTGATGTAGATGGCGAATACTATCAACCACGTTGAAGACAAGGAATCATCTCGCCTAATTTCCACCACAAGTATAGATATGAGTTGTGTCCATGCCCAACAATGTCCCACGATGCAAGATGATGGCATAACTTGAGGAAATTAGAGAGCCTACCAAAAGAAAATCCACCCAAAGTGTCCGATTCTTCACTCTGGAGGGTAACGGTGGTGTGTGAGAATGTACAATCACCGCCATCAACGCTGTCAAGTTGAATGGTCTCGTAGGGAGGATTTGTATCAGCATTCACACCGGTGGCTTGAAAGGCAACATTCTCAGCATAGTAGAGTTGATTGCCTATCAGGAAGACCTCCTTCACATCCCCATTGTCACTCACAATGGCAACTTCTGTTGGCTCAACTGATTCACCAGACAATTGATGCGTTGTAAGGAAAGATTGATTGTGCCTCTGACTTTTCGATGGCGACAAAGCCTGCACCAACCTTGGCATTGTGGCTAAAGGACGGAGGAAATGAAGTCACTCCTCTAAACACCCAATACAAACCTGTCCTGCTTGGTGAAAGGAGGAGAGAAATGGGACAACAGACAATGCTTTGGGTGATTAAGAGCACCCAACATGCTCAAAACACTTTGACGGTATGTATTCAAACTCACAGGGATTGGGAGTGACAAGACGTCCATTAATTCGAATTCTTTTGGGTTTGTCTGCAAGGGAGGAGGAAAACCAAATCACTATCAACGCCACCACCATCGTCAACACTATTGTAGAGGCAATTAGCATCTGTGTAGGCAATACAAACTTGCCTGTATGAAAACGCCAAACATGGTCATTCAACACTTGCTTAATGGCGTACCTTCGACCACATTCATTGCATTTGAAGGGGAGGACAGCTAAAATGATAATAATAATAACAAAATCACACAGCTAACACCACATCCGAAGTTGAGTTCAAGGAAAAAGACGATGGAACAAACCTTTATGATGATTAACAAGATGGGATGCAAGCTGTGAGTGTAAAAAGAAGCGTCGACCACATTCATTGCAGGAGTAGGTTTTAAGACCTGAAACCAACAATGAAGTTGTTGAAATTTTAATTGGGATGGAAAGAGAGGTATGAATGTGAGAAGTGGGACAAACACTCACGATTGTGAACACAATCGACGTGTTTGCGTAGATCACATCGAGCATAGAAGGAGCGATCGCAGAGGTTGCAGGCATAGCGTTTCATTTCTGGACAAAGAAATGACATGAAGGAGACGGAAATATAGAGGCAAATTTGTTCCTTAAACGCGTATTTCGCACCAATTTATGACACCCACAACCCGAACATAGAACAATGAGGGACCAGTCGCCTTCCCCCCCGTCCTCAACTCTCCCCCTCCCTGCTGAGTCATAAAGAATAACAATTTCCTGGGCTTCAGGTGTCGACTCCTTACACAGAGGAAAGCAATAAGCTGCCCATTTTACGGAAAGAAATGAAACATGTCCTAGGGAAGGAGAACTCACTGTGATGAATGGCTTCAATGTGAGTCTTTAGGGACTTTTTGGTGTGGAGAACCTTCTTGCAAACCGGACAGACATCCACACTGCTCGCTGCAAACACACAAACACCTTGAGTTGAAGGCGACTCATTTACATGGCAATCAAGGAAGGAAGAAATAATTACCAACCTACCCGCAAAGAAGTCTATGTTGATGGCTTTCTTTTGCCCCTTTACTTCACCACCTGTAGCGGGGATAAAGAAAATCTTTATTCGCAAAAGTTCCCTTCTTCCATTGACTAAGCATTAGAGCACAAAAGCGAGAAAAGTGGAATGTGATTATAGCCGCAGCAGAGAGCAACCCTTCGCCACGACGGCATCACAACCCAGGCGTGGACAACTTGAAACCACAACAGAACAGACAACTGAGTGTTTGACAGAGCGACAAACCCAACCATCATTGCACTGCGATGCCAGAGAACAAATCAACCCTAAAACATCCCAGGAATCGCACGGACTCCATCCCATCCATTGGGTAAGGTAGACTTTCTACTCATTTATTAAAAGTGGCAAGGCAGCCAAGCCCGAGGGAGTGGAAGCACAGAGAAACTGCCTTCCACTGCTGCGACTACACGGTGACGTGCAAGCTTAACATATTTGCCCAAAAACGTTGTTCTACCTTCATCAGTTTCACCTTGTGGATTTTCGTACCCTCCCGTCAGTTCATATTCATACTCCATTACATTGTTTCGTCCAGCTGAAACAAAACAGCAAATGCTAAGTGATTGAAACTATTGCAAAAGTAGTTGCCCTAACGATTAAAATCCAAACGCATAAAGCAGGTGTTGAAGATTTACCATAATGGAAGGTGATTGTGGACTGTTATGTTTGTTTGTGTTTCTTCGTAAAAACAATAATGAAATCAACTGCACAAAGTTTGTATTTTTTTAAAACGGGATTAAGACTTCTACATACAGACAAGTGTGGAAGGTTCATTACATTCAGGGTTATTTAAACTACTGTCCTCCTCAGGCTCATTCTGCCCATCTGCAGCAGTTTCGGGTGCTTTGGTCTCGGGTTCCACTGGCGCCGCCACCGCCGCCGCCACCACCTCCGCTGCCTTCGCCTCGGCTTCAGCTTGCATGCATAAAAACAAGATTTGAATCCAGCTGTGAGTAGCAACTGCCAATAGACCGATATAGGTGTGATCAAAATGCTTCGATAAGTCGTACTTTTCTGACGATGGCTATCCGTATTTCACCTACTTGTCGAGTGAGGAATGACCTACATCTCCGCCCAGTTGGTGCAGTCCTAAACTCACCGATAAGGCGTTTCTGCCTGTCGCATTCCTCCTGCAGAGTGGTCTTCTCCGCTCTAAAATCATTGCGCATTGCAAATACGGATCCAGAACCATCGCCTGAAGGTAAAGAGAGACGCCCTAATTACAACCTTAAGGCAAACATACTAAACCAGGACTTGCAGAAACTGTTAACACACACCAACATGCTCTCGACGAATGTGTTGACGAAGAAACTTCTTCCACCCAAACACCTTTCCGCATTGCTCGCATTTGTACAAGGTTTCACCTTCAAGAAAAATTGTACATCTCATCACAGTTCAGCGTTCAGAAGAGTCAAGAGGAAGAGGTGTACGATATTTATGCATTAAGACTCACTTTGATGGATCTTTTCCATGTGATCTCGCCATTCCTGAAGCTCGTCAAAGCCAGTCTCACACTCGGGACAGGTAAACATAGACTGTTCTACAGGCATACAAGAGGAAATAAGCATGCTTGACAGAGGGCGAATTAAGACTAACCAAACGCGTCACTCACTTAGATGAGTTGAATCTAAATGCTCAGACACCTCCTGTAAACTGGAAAATCGCTGCCCACAGACGTAGCACCGGGTCCTGGGAAAGGCTTGTTTAGAAGGGGCAAGATGATTATAATGAGTATAACGGAAGCAACAGGTGCAATCTTGAAATGGGAGGGAAATGAGAGCACTACATCAAGTAGCTTACCTCGATGACGTTCATTCATGTGTTTGTCCATCTCGATAATTGGGAAAATGGAGAGACACACTAAGCACCTGCACTCATTTTCACGCAATTCTAACAAAATTTAAGACGGCGTTTAGTGCATTTCAAGTCAAAGAAACTACGAAAAGCCGTGACAATAAATTACCGCGTGAGTCTAAATCAACGATTGCGTTATTGAGGTAGGTACCGTCAACTCGACATTCTTCTCGTGAAGGAGGGCAGTCGCCTAAACAGTAAATAAAAGGTAAGAAAGAGAGGGATAAGCGGGCGATGAAGGTAGTACAAGGCTTACATTGATGGAGGCTTCGTAAATGCCTGACGAGTTTGAGGTAATAGTAGTAACCCTTGTCACACTCCGGACATTTGTAGTTATAAATGCCTAAAAAATTGACAATAACTCGCCTAGCCTTAAAAAAATATATGAAAGTAAATGCTATTAGGCTGTAGCTAGACCTACCATAGTGTGCCGTCTTTATGTGTATGCGCGCATTGTCAGCAGTGGGGAAAAACTTCCCGCAAATGTAACATTGATCCTTTGGAAAGCCTGCACCAAACCACCAAAAAGATCCGTTAGTAATGAGATTTTTAACCACTTATGACATGAAAAGGGTAAATTAACAGACTTGGTAATACGTAAATTAGGAGAGGGGGATCACTCACGCCTGTGAATCTGTCGTACGTGAGCCTCAAGAGTGGTTGGGAGGAAGGACTTGCCGCAAGCAAAACACGCCACTGAATCGCCTAAATGGTTGAACTTCAGTAAATCAACAAAAGGCTAGCATAGGCAAGTCATCCACAATAAAAGTATGAGCCACACTGAAAAGTAATGATAAAATTAATTAAGAATGAATTTCGCAGAATAAAATTGAAAACTGCACTGTAGTGAAGAGCATTAGCTTGCGCAATTGTCCATATCCGAAAAAGCCCATTAAATGCATATGGGATAGTGGTTCTGGTAGGATGCAATCGAACACGTCCTGCTTACCCGAGCGCCGAACCCCTAAAAAGAAGCAATACCAGCTGGTCGTTTGGAAGGATGAAGTAAAGGGCCGAATAACTAACGCCTACCTCTTTCTCTTTGATCTCCAGACGAATCTAAAATGACAATTTAAAATCATCATGTCGCAGGTCCCAGCTTCAAAGGAAATCAGTCATGCAGAATTTTACCTTCATCGTAGGAAACATTCATGTCTAAAAATTGTGAAAAATAGGAGCAAATGAATGAACGCAGTGGAAATATTTTTATTGGTCAGTTCAGCGCTAAATCATTTGAGATGTAGATTTCGCTCCCGTGGAGCACACTTAACGACAAAAAACTGCATATAAATGCAGACAGGACTGTGTACTAAAAACAGAGCCAAATAAACTAAGAGGATAAGAATGCAGCAATATGCATACCAGTATCCTCGTCTTCGGTTGGTCGCGAAGTATCAACTAGAAAAGGGCAAAAAAGACTGACTATCAAAAACCATGCCGATAGTACAACGCAAACGAGAAGAAAACACAAAAACTCACAGAAACTTTCATAGTCATCAAATCCGCGGGGAATTTTGCGCTGCCTCTTCTCATATGACGGACGAGGAGAGGATAAGAGCAGTAGTTCCGACCTATTTCGCCTTCTATAGGGTCGCCTCTTCCTGGGCTCAATAGAAGATGATGAGGAGACCGGCTTGGCTATTTTAAGCCGCCTTCGTCGCCGTCCCCAACGGCGTCTATACAGGGGTTTAGTGGGCGAGGAGTCTTCGAGAGATTCAGGCTTTAGAACATCGTCTGCCTCCTCCCCTACCTCGCTGACCTCCACAAGTGCATTTTGAGCCGCCTTAAGGCGAGCGCTATTTTCCTGCAACCGTGTCTCTTCGCGGTAAAAGCCATCAATCATGTTGGCGTCTCTGGATAAATCTACCCATAGTATTTTTGACGCGGCTGAACCTGATTGAACATAAACTTGATCGAGCTCCAAGTTCGAGAATGAAAATAATTACTACTGTGTGGAGTAACGAAAAGACAAATCAAGGCCAAAAATTCACCATTTAACATATAGTAAATAGGACAACGTTACTACAGACTGCGTGTAAAGTAAATGTAACGAAATCCCTGTTTGATAATGTGGAAAATGGACTCAAGATAACACATGTCTAGGAGATGTATTAATATTGTTGCGATAGGAAAAGATAAAACAAAGAATCACATATACGACCACTTAATACATCAGTTCATTGATGATGCTGACGCTGTGACAAGCACAACGGAATGCAAAGACTACTTACAAGCCACGAAAATGCAACTGGAAATAATTAGATTTGGATCGACCTCAACGCCAAATGGCAAGAAGCTCTGTACCCAATGAAGAAATGTTTTTATATGAAAAGCATAAGGAGGAAATCGCACCCATAGATTCCAATCAAGAAATAGCTGAACTGGAGGGTATAACGAAGCCATAAATCTTCTCCTCGTAGAGGACAGAATAAACAAAATGTGGACAACTTTTCAAAAACTGAGAGTTACAAAGACGGTTTACAAGTGATATTATAATACAAAAGTTAAAAATGCAATGACATCCCCTATAAACAATGTTGCTACGGCTGTACACTTACTCTTTCGACTTCCCCGAGACATTCAGAACACAAACAGGGACGTTTAAAGACGGCGCGCAAATCGAAAATAGCTCGGTAAATCAAATTGTCTTTTGAAATGATTGTAAGAAATCATGAATAGATTCTTCTAGAACCGCTAAAATTTCTTAGGCTTCAACAGCATTTTAAGCAACGATGTCTTATAAGTGATTACACCGTTTTGTAAAAATATACATGAGTAAACTTATTTAAAGTTAATTTTTTTACTCATAGAAGAGTTTGTTTGATAACTTTTTGAAAAAGGTATTATTATTTGAATCTATTGTCTTTTTTGTTTCAAAATGACCCCTATTCCTTTTATTTATCAATTTTAATCTCCACGTTATATTAAAAACCTAACTATAAAAAGGACACTCCTTGATATGCCATGGTTACTTTAGCGTCTACTTTGTAATAGGGCGCATTAAACTCGTCTTCATACTTGCGTACAGTCAAAAATTGGGGGAGTACTCCATTGATGTGATCAGAGGTCTAGTCTGTTCAGCAGAAGCGATAAAGCGCCAAAGATTTCGTTAATCGTACACGTCTTTTTGTTTATCCAAAAATCTTTATTTTTAATAATTTTCAAAACCTTGCTGACGAATCTTTGTCGGTCCGAGAGCAATTAATGTGGCACCAAATTAGCCCCACAAATCAATTGGGCCGACTGGACTGAGGCAAGTTGAAGGAAGACTCGAGACGCCCCCCGCATTTGACTTAAAGAATCCCCACGAAACATATCCCATCAGGCCACCATTGTTAGACTGTAGCATCTATCCGTAAGAGCTTCCTGCCTACCCTCTTGACCTTGAACCTGAGAATTCAAGAGGGAGTTGGTTGCAGATGATTTATTTGACACTTGTTACAGAAAAAATGGGGTTTGGGATGCAGATGAGCTGAATAGGAGATATCACCTGGAGAGAGACTCCCCACCATCTTCGCGCACGTGATTCGCGTTCCCAATTGGTTCCCGCCTCTTATCTATAAGTCACTTAAACAAACCGGTATATATTACACTAGCTACTTTCAAATCGTCCTCCCTATTGAAGGCTAAGATGGCAGAAGTAACCTCTTATTGTTCTTTACATGAAATTCCACTTCCATTTGTTTTGCAGTTCTCAAGCTGTATGAACTTCTCAAAGTGCGCAACTGAGTTCATTGCACAATCTTTAGTAAGTGCTCACTTTGCGAGCTGATGATAGTTAAGATCTTCCAATTAGACAGATAAGTTGCATGAAAAAATACATTGTTAGTATAATCACCCTAAATGCTTCAGAATACGCACAATCCAGTGGTCAATTTGATCCCTTGAGTTGTGCATCCTATATTTTTTCGTTGATGAGCCACCGGTGTATGATTGACAGTATCACACACCTCTGGAAGGTGACAAACATAAAACCTTATTTACTTGCGAATTTGGCAAAAAGTGTGTAAATCCATGCAAAAGGTTATTGCACTACACTCAAGTCTTTGCATACCTCAGCAGACCTAGAAATGGAGTACTTCTATACAAGCGCACTCACAACACTCACCGTACTATCTACCATCTTATTTATCAGTGTTCATCGAGGACAATTGTTACTCGCCTCACAGTTGCAATAATTCACAACAAAACTTTTCTACCTCTTTATTGCACAGCGAAATTGTCAAACTCTTGACTGTGTGGAGCGCTAACATCGTTAGAGAGGTTTGGGTGCTAGTCTATATTTGATTGACGCGCACCCTCGAGTGTGAATGACCTCGTGTGAAAATGTTTCTTTCCACTAAACATGGCTGCTTGCACAAATATGCTTAAGGAAGGTTTGCCTTGCTAACCACTTCCTCCTAACAATCACCTCTTACCAGACTATCGTTACTCTCTCTCTCTCTCTCCTTCTTCCACCTTTTTGTGCTTTTGCCACCCTTTCCTTCCTTGCTTGTGCGTCGATCGACCACGTTATGGGGCACGGGCGGAGACGGGGGGGGGGGGGGACGGG